CACAATGTATCAATTGAAAAAAGGGTAAATTAAATTTAGCCTGACTTAAATCAGTGAAAAATCAAAGGTGACAGCCTTAACTCATTAACTGGTGGGTTGGGATAAAAAGTGTGACTGGGGTAGTGTTGAGGAAATATGATATCTCTCAGCAGTACTGATCATAAACGTACAATAAATTAAACTGAAAATTCAGAGAGAGATACAGCAACACACTAATGCATAGACATATATACAAACACATACTTGAGATAGACATACATATTTAAAAAAAATAAATCTGGCCAGAGATTTTTTAAAGATTATATATTTTAGAGTAAAGGAATCATTTTAGCTTCTAAGTTTTACCAATAATATATTTTTTTAAAGATTGTAATAAGCCTGACAAACATTGATGGCCTACAGTCACCACTGTTGCGTGTGTGTACACATAGGTTGCAGCAGAAATACCTCTCATATAATGCTAAGAAATTAGTGGCAATATCTTACCATTATTTGGGAAGTATTTCTGGGAGGTATTTCTGCCACACCCTGTATATGTTCATACAGATACACACACTATATATATATTTGTTTGAAATGAATCTGTAAGTGGAGTGGGGAAAAGCCTAAATGGGAAACAAAGATGAAAGTGACTCCATATATCTTGACAAGGCCAGGACCATTATAGACAAAGTTTATATAGCAAGGGATCATAGAGTCAAATTTGACTTTAAAATAAAGAGTAAATGATTCTCAGAAAGAAACTTTATTCTAATGAGATCAGAGAGAATATCACTGAATAGAAATCAAGAACGGATTCTAGGCTTTCAGGAATACCAAAAATGACATATATGAATAGTAAATTGACAGCTATAATTAAGGGAGCAGCTGAGATAACAGGAAAAACAAACAGAAATGACAAAGAGAAATAATAGGAAAAATTCAACATTCAAACTGAGGCAAAAGAGTTTAAATATTATGAAAATGTATTGATAAATGTGGATTAAATTGAGCAGAATGATTAAAAAAAAAGGAAAAAAAAAATGGAAGAAATAGGAAAACTTTTATAAATTTGGCTACATGTTTGGCTACATTATTGTACCTTCATCAAAACATTGTCTTGCAAAATTCAACTGACAATATCTGTCAATTTCATTTTTTATTTTATTTTCAAATAATATTTTGCAGCAGGATCCAAATTATAGATAAACTGTCTAAAGTATATTTATTTCTGCTTTTTTTTTTTTTTTTCTGTATATATATATATATATATATATATATATATATTTATATATATATATATATATATATATATATATATATATATATATATATATATATATATATATATATATATATATATATATATATATATATATATATATATATATATATATATATATATATATATATATATATATATATATATATATATATATATATATATATATATATATATATATATATATATATATATATATATATATATATATATATATATATATATATATATATATATAGAATAGATACTAGGGACAATTCGGAATATAAACCACACACACTTATTATGGACTCATGGATCAGAAAAATTAAAAACAACAATTTCCACGATACAATTAAATTTACCATGGAGCATACACATCCATCCCTTTCTTAGACGTTATGATAAAATTAAACAAACATATACCAGTCTATACAACAAACCCACAAACCAACATAAATTCCTGCACTTTAACAGCTGTCATCCCTTTAAATTAAAAAAAATCTATTGTATACAGCTCATTTTAGAACCAAACGCATATGCTCAGACCATTTAGATTTTCTATACAATATTAATAACTTAACAAAACAATTCCTAAAATGCAAATACCCAATAAAAAATAATAAAAGAAGCACTAAATAAAACTATCCTGATTCACATACAAGAAAAATAAAACAACAATCGGATTCCATGGTTTTTTAACCACAATCAATATTACACTTATTCACAATTTAAAAAATGATTACAAGAACCTCCAATTAGACAACAAGATCAAAGACATTTTCGATAAACCACCCATAAATGCAATGAAACAATCACCTAACTTATCAGCTATCCTCACCTCTACCAAATATCTAAACAATAGAAACCAAACAGGAAATTACAAATGTAACAAACCTCATTGCTTAGTTTGCAAACATTTAGTAATAGCTAATACATTTTTACCCAACACCAATATCAGGATACAGCCACCTAACCTCACCTGCGATACCCATAACGTAATCTATTATTTATTCTGCAACTTATGTCCTAATAGTGGATATATTGGTGAGTCTGAAACAATTTTAGATTTGTTTTAATAACCATAAACAAAAAAACAACCCTTATTCCCCATAGCTAAACACTACAAAGGACACACATTAGAAAACTGCAAATGTTTTTAATAGATTCCGATTTTAGAATTCACACGCAGAAAAAAAAGAAACATATGATTTTTAAATTAAATCATAAATTAGGGTTGAATAGGGAGGTGTTTTAAACTTTATAAATATTTCAATAGCTAAGCAATTTAGATATAGTAAAAAAATATTTTTAAAATATTTATGACAGTTATTTAAGTTAGGAATATCTGAACAGTGACGTTCCATATCACGTGACGTCCGCGTCTCGAAGGACGCTACTTGCCAACAAACAGTAATTTTAATTTATTTGTAACAAACAGTTATTTCTGATGAAAATTGAGGACAATTTGAAATATCAAATATATATATAAATTAAATACTTTCATAAAATAA